CCGGGCCATAGGGGGGGCGGCCCCCCCCCCCCCCCCCCCTGTATCCGCCACTGCTTGGAGCTTGCACGTTAATTACACCCTGTCGAGTTCTATCACGGGGTATCGCTCACACACTCGTCACTCATCCATGCAATGAGCGTTTATGGGTAATCCAAGTGCTGCAAGATAATCCACCAAACAACTTCCAAATGCTTGTTCGTGAGGATATAATGGCTGTCTCATAAAATAAAAAAGTTTGGAAATTTTACCCTTATTTTAGTATTGGAAATTCCTCCGCTTCTTCTGCGGAGTCCATCAGTCATGGAGATCGGCAATTTAGCTTAACAATCCATTCCAGGCCGGGAAATATTAAGTCGGCGTTCCTCTTTCCTTCTCCCGAACGGAAGATTCCTTATGAGTTGGAGATCCTCATTCGCTGTAGACGATATTCTGAGCCCTAATTATGAGCTATATTTCCCCCGCACGCCAATTTCTATCGGTGAGAAAGAAGAAAGGACTTACGAGTCGGTATATATCCCTATCCACCCAGTGATCTACCTCCATTCCTCCAATTTCTAGGTCGATATGTCTAAGAGAAAAAAAGAGTCAGGTTCTCGGGGCGAAGGGCACGGGGAATATTTCTTTTCCTCTCCCCCGGAATCCCCCACAAAAAAATGGCGAGAGGAGGAAGAGAGCAAAATCGTGCCAAGCAAGTGTCGCCAGTCTGGGGGGAAAAATAGCCGAGAATATACTTCTTTTCCTCCGTCGCACACCTCCGGAGAATCGAGTCTCGCTCGCAGTTGTGCATTGGGAGTGGAAGGACTCGCAAATGCATCTCGTTATTCTTATTACCTTGTGTACAGGTGCGTATGCTCATTGCCAGGAACTCTTCCATCTCGATGGAGATCCCAAACTCTCGAAAGCGATGGTCGATCAAGTTTTTCTTTCCTTTCTCTTCCATTTCCACTATTTCCTTCATTTTTATTCTCCGCGGCATTTCCCCTTCTAGCGAGAAAATCCTTAACGAATCAGCAATTCTCTCCTGACAAATAAGTCCTCTATTCCGAGAAATCTTCTATTAAAAGAGAGCTCCTTGAAACTTCTAATGAAATATTCGCCGAGCAATGGAAGATAAACAGACAAGGTGAGAGGAAAGTAGAAATATACCAGGGTCTCAGATGCTTCATATGCGTGGAGTGCTGTATTTAAAATTCATGGCCATCCGATTTTCACCGAGCCTTTGGCGACGTCACTCGCGACACCACTGCCAGGCAATATGCAGAACGGAAATATCCGCGTTTCATTTCCTGATAGACGGAGTTCAAAGGACGGATCACGAGAAATACATGCGAAGGGGACTCCTCATGAGGGAATCAGCATACGGTCGGAACTAGATTCCGGCATTCGTTCGGCGAGGAAGCATGAAATTAAGTCATGAAATGAGGAGAGAGGAATTTTCATGATGTCATCCCTGCCTCTCAAAGGCTTTCTCTCTCAGGAAAGGATTTATATTTCCAAGAGGTGTTCCAAACGTAACCAGACTTTTTTTTCCTCCTACCCTTTTCATTCTAAATATGCATCTGGTGCAGACATTCTTTCATTTCTATTTTCGCGAAAGTATTAATAAAATCAACGTGCGATGAGATCGGGTACTGCAGTACCTGTACGTTTACAACGACACCAGTGGCGACGTTAGAGGAACAGCATTGCGGCAGAATAAATCTTCTTGAAGAAGGGGAAGGAGCCGATAAAGGGTGACACGCACCAAATGAGGCTTCGGATTAGTTTAAAGACGAGATAAAAAGTGACATGCACCACATCGGTTTAGGAGCTAATCTTGCCTAGTTCCAAGCAAACATGTTTAAGAATGATTCGAACTCGTCCTTGATCTGATTTATGCCACACACAAAATGCAATTTCATCCTCTCTTGAACTAATCTTCAAGCAGCTTTATCTCCCTAAACGGATTCTCGGCATGCTGTTTTGTCGTAATGGGCCTCAGTATTCTTGCCTCTCATCATCTAGCAACAGTGGGAATGGAAACTAAAGAAAAGATAGAAGTTGTTTACTTGATACTGAACTAACCTGCTAAGGTTAGTTCAGAGATCGGCTCAATCCTATCGAATAACTCAATGGAGACGAATTCCGAAACAGGTTTCGTCTTTCCAAGGACATCGCCTCCGACTAGGTGCGGAAAATGGAGCGGCAGCTGGTACATAATACTCATCATTCCCTTTCCAGATGCAAATTCCACACTGGCTTTAAGCGTGTTTAACCCTTTCGCTCCCAAGCAGAATTGTATGCCAATAGGAAGAGTCGATTTATCGGCACCTTGGGATTCGTGCACGTGCTCATGAAAACTAATCGGTGAAAAAAAAAAACTGATTTTCAGCAGTGCACGTCAAAGCTAAAAACATTCACGTTTTAGTAATGTGTTTATCCTGTCTTTAAACTAATCCGATGCCGCAGTTGGTGCATGACACCCAAACACACTTATATTTTATCTTCTAAACCGATGTAGTGAATGTCAACTATAGTATTTTAACTTTTGAAAATAGAGTATGGCATTATGTGCACGTACAGAGCATAGGTTCATATATGGATCTGTTGGCATAGGAACTGCTACGTCACTACACTGAGGACCAGAATTAATAATTAAACCTTGGGGGAGGGGGGGAATTGCAAAGCGTGACAGGCGCTATGATATTTCACCTGCTATTGAAATTGGCGGTTGTCTTGAAACGTCAGTCAGCACCAAGTCAGGCTCTGACTTGGTGCAACACGAGCTGCAAGAATGTCCAAGTTCATCACAGCTTTACCATGATGAACTTTCCCATTAATGATAATATGGAAGTCTAGGAGGTATGTGCAGGGTGTGACAACATGTGTCGAAGTTTCAGTAGAGAGGGCCAAAGTTGAGAGGGGTTTTTTAACGTATTCGCTGCCAGATGCTCCAGTGGGCACGAGACGAAGTTCAATGTGGAGGCGGTAAAGGGGGTCAAGGGACTCCCCAAGGATGAAAAAGTTCCAGGCTCTGCCATCTCATGAGAAAGCTCTGGCAGCCATTTTCCGGGACAAAAAGGACTCGTACTCGAGTAGGGTAAAAGACCCAGTGATGAGTTAAGGGCGAGTACTCAATGATGGGCCACGTCGCAGAAAAATTCCAAAAACTTGGCATTTGTTCCATGAACACTTCTGAAGTGTGTATGTGCTTGACTGCTGCTAGCCTATGTCACAACAGGGGTAGACGTGTTATGGAAACTTAGCTATTGGAATTATTATGTGCTGTGGCCCATCACTGGGTCTTTTACCCTACTTCCTTGAGCAGAAGACGACGATTGATGCGATTCGGTGCATCGAAACTGTATAGAAGTCACCACAGGTTGGAAGAACCGATCCCCCGGTGTATCGAGTGAGGGTGTCGGTAGCGCCCGGTATACGTCAGTGATCATAACATCCTCTGATAAAATTCCTTTGGACTCCCGTAAATAACACCCGAAGGACCTCGCGGACCACTTGTAAGCATCTCGAGGGCCACTTTTTGCCCGCGGGCCACGGGTTGGGCACCACTGGTATAGAAGTTGAAGGTAGAATCTGAGCGCAAGCTCCTCGGAATGGCTACGGGGGAAGTAAAGTTGCAATGTGACGATCCTCACATCGCATGAGTGACGTGAAAAGCCTGATTTGGCCCCATTGAAGCATTGAAGAAGTGCAGCAAGCTGCTCCGCAGTAGACGAGATAGACATCGATGGGCATCGACAAGTGAGTGTACAGATGGCAGAAATGTATTGCCGCTGGAGATGACTATGAAAATGGCAAAAATACGTGTACCGAATTTCATATGCTCAGGAAAAGAAAGAGATCTGGTTACTTTTGGAACGTCCCTCGTACTTTCCCCCTGCCTGTTACAAATGCACAACGCGATGCCACTCTCATCGAGTGGAAGAATGAGCACAAACAGTTAATTTTTTCAGTAAAGGCACCGAGAAGCAGGAGCCATGACGCACGTAATGACCTGGCATGATGGGGATAGCCTGAAAGCTATTCGAAACCCAGTCATGGATCCCTTCTCTCTACGTCTAGCCTGATAGAGAGGAGTGTCCTGCAACATTTACTCCTCGTCGAAGAGGATGTCATCGACTGTATGGGCTATCGGTGCATGACTCAAGGAAATAGGCTCTTGCATTAGACATTTTGACATGGACATAGTTCCAAAGTCCCCTTTAGGCTTGATAATCCTATCTCGGATCGTCGTTAGACCTTTTCTAATAAACGAGAAGAGTTCACTGAAAGGACGAGGGATCGTTCTGACAGTTTCGATCGCGTATAGGCCTACAGCTTAGGATTATAAGACTCGAGAGAAAGGATGTTTTCTGATCAAATCGCGCGAGAGGAGGTCACAGAGCTCGAGTCAGACGGGGTCAAATCCAATCAAGAAGCCGAGGACGACGATCTCAATATCCGGAGCGTTAAGGCGCTTTCATTCATGGAAGTTGACAGATGAGGCGCGATGGGGTTCATCGAGTCCTGCGAGAATTAATGTTGATTATTTGCTTCCCTTCTCGATCTGTCTTCGCAGATGAGTCATGGATCCATTCTGGATCGCCCTTCTTCTCTCTTTCCTCTGGCATCCCGCCGCTTCAGAAGAGGAACGCTGCCTCACCGCTCTGCAAGGTAAGATATCTCGGTTCTGCGGAAAAAGAGATTAGTAGTATCTTCATTTTTGTGAATCAGAACACTGTTTAAAAATGCACGAACATTTTATAACATTCAGCGGATCTTTTGCTTCAGGAGTAATTTTCATAATCCATTTGAATAGGTTAGAGACGAAAAGAAGTGTTTTAAAACTCCGCGAAATCCAAAATCAAAGTAACGATGATGTTGATATTCGGCCAAAACCTGGTACGACGACATCCGTGATGAGAATTTTTTTTTACCGATACCAAAATATACTATTATCTTAGCACAAATACTTTGTTTCTACAAAGCCAAAACAGTATATGGCAAGGAATGCTTCATTGAACCCAAGTTTACACGCCTAATTGATTTTTTAAGTCAAATTTTCACGACTTAGTTTTAGGGACATATTGAACAAGCAACTGGTGAGAACGATCCTTATTAAAATGCAAATCGGGGCACACAATCTCTTGCCCTCCCACGGACTTTGCCTTAGCCGTTCTATGCTGTGCTGTTATGCGGATCAAATTAGATATTGAACTTTGTATATTTAATGCAAATTGGATTTTTCTTCTTCTTTGCTTTTTATTTTTACCCCCCTCATGTCTTCGAGCCTCAATTGAGGACAGATATATTGCAATTTATTTTATTTTGTTTTGTACTTTTTTTGGTGGGGGGGGGGGGCTTGATTTTCTCTCACCGCCTAGAGGTCTCATGTAAGAACAGCAGCTAATTAAAGCATCTACTCGGGATGGTACTCCCTTCGCGGGACTTACTTGTATCACGGAAAGGGACGTCCCGCGGCGATACTTAATTGGATCACGGGAAGGAACGCTTTTTTTAACCTCAAAGGTCACAGAACGGGACAGGACAGGACAACGAATTTTCAAGAATCAATTACTAGCTTTTTTGTGCGCGAACACGTGCAGAAACAGTTCGATCAGAAATTAGCATCTGAAAAACTGAGAAGTGAAAAACTTGGTAGACGGACCTCATTTTGCAATCCTAGGTCATTCAAGGTCATCGTTTTCGTCCTGTTCAGAGGAAACTGGTTTGCATTCAAGGCCATGTATTTGCTTCCCGAACGACGTATATTCTGAAACTCTTATTTTTAAAAAGCCACACTTGAGAGTTAAATCGTATTCTCAATATGCAATTTAATGCTCGAAATTCAAAAGTTGAAGGACGGGAGATGGAATCTCACAATAAAATACTTGAAGCAGTCTCGGTTTCTGGGAATGCGAGAGGACAAAAACAAAAGATGTGCGATGCAATGCATCTCCTTGGATTTCCAGGAAACGGGATTATAAAAAAAAGGCGCGAGTTTCCTTTTACGCGTAATCTTTCGGATTCATTTGAGAAGCGTATGGGGGTACAAAGGTATCAGTTTCAGATCTGCTAAGTGCACGCGAGATGTGGTATCTCTCACGAGCCAACTTTTCTTGCCCTTGACTCTTCTTTCGCGGATGAACTCTGTATTTCCCTTAATTTCGAAGAACTTCCGTCGGTGTAACCGCGACATACTGTAGTTACGACTCACGTCTTTCTCTGTGCGTTCAGTTTCCCAAGTATATTGCAAAGATGAATCACGTAGACGAGCACTCATTCCGGCAAATTGAAATGCCTCCGAGACCCGAGTGATAAGAGCGCGAGCTCATTGCACGAGGAAAAGATTCCTGTCGTCTCGAGAGTCTCGTTCCCTCGATGGCTCCCGAAATCACGTCTTCCTCACATGTTCTATCTCGAATCGTTGCAGCGAAAGTGAGTCCAAAGCGGCTGTACCATGGAGGTGAAGTGGTGGACCTCACGCTGGAAGTGTCCCATCGGTTGTCTCATCAACTGATCACTCACGTCATCAAGATGGTACTGGAGGAATTTTACGGCTACCACCGAGTGCGAATCGTGGAACAGGAAGACCATTTCCTCCCCGTCAACGTCCTCAAGCGACTCTCGGGCGTCCTCAGATGCACTTCCTCGTGAGTTCATCGCCCTGTCTCCGACGAATGAGAGCATCCTTAGAACGTGTCCCTCGAGGGCCTGAGGCTCTTTGTCGTCTAATGGGAACGAACGCAGACGGGGATGGAAAAAAAAAATAATATAATTTCCCTGCCTCCTTTGATCTCTGATCCCTCGAGGTACCTTTGTGTCATGTATGCGTCCATCGAATCACGACGACTGCCGCCGAGTCAAGAAATGCCACTCGGTGAACCCATGTTTTCGACAGACATTAACAATTTCATTGCTAGGCGTTAAGGGGCAGATTTGCATAGCCTTGACACGTTTCAAAGAAACATTATCACGTATAAAGTTTCGGTGCTAAAAAAGTCCTATATCATGAAATATGCAAAGGAGAAACTCGAAAATTGGAATCAGATTCAGTACTGTTTGAGGACTTGATATCTGGTATTGGATAAATCTAATGGGTGCTAAAGAGACCCACACTCAGTGCACAAATCTGGTTTCACTTCTATTTGCTCTCTGATACGCTTCAGGTTCTCGCAGGGCCTCTATTAATAGGAGAGGCAGGTATGCGAGTTGGAGACTTTTCATCTTTCTATCCAGCTTGAAGGCTGGATCCTTCTCAAGTGCAATCCAACTCGATGATCGGTAAAATCTGTGAACGGCGATTTCAGACTGCGAACGCTAAATAGTTTCCCCCCCCCCCCCCCCCGTGAACTGCAGTGAATGTATTAATGGATCTCTTCACTCTTCGGGCATCTCTGTCCAATAACGGATGCCAAAGAGGGAATCGAACGTTCATCGAGTGGGAAAAATAATTTAGGAGTACTCAACCCGTAGCATTTACGTAGCTACCACGTTCGCGGCGCAGTCCTTTGCGTGCATTGGGCGTAGTATAGTAGTTGCGTTTCTCATTCCCTACGAAATTCTTGGAACTCTGCCCACGGATAACGATCTGGTTACGTAATAGCATCGGAAATGTTTGGCTGTTTTCGAAAGTCGTTCTTTACAGGGGTAATTGGCTGGTCCATCGGTGGGGTGGGGGGCTGGCTTCCGCGGCACTCCAAGGGATAAACCCTTGCACGCAGAACGAAGTACCACAAAATTCGCAACAGATTATACAAAATTCGTTTCAAGTCCCGTATCAATCACGTATACGCAACGGCAGCAGTAACGAGAGGGAAATTCAAAACAAGTATGCGTGTCAATGGCAAGGAGGACATTTCTTTCTCCGACGCATTAACGCGTAGAAAGCGCTTAAGAGAGTTAAAGAAATGAGCTACATCCTTTCTGCATTCCCCTCTTTCCATGGTCCGTCGTCCACCAGTAGGATATACTGTATGATCGATGGCGAGAACCCCAAGAGCCAACGCCACTTCCTCATTCGTACTGTCCGATATGCTTATACTTCATCTCCCCACATGGCTGCAGCGTCGATCGCTCAGCCAAGACGAGCCAGTGAATCCTTCTCACCGTGCCTTCATCCCACGAGCGTTACTTTTTACTTGACGTGACCGATGGCGTGGCTGTGGCAGTTGGCCGAACCCCTGCGGTACGGAAGGTCTGCCGTTCGCCACGCGCATGAGCCTTCGTCTCGTGTAGAATCTTCAATCGAAGAGCGCCTCGATCATCTCGTAAATATATCTTTTCATGCAGTATCGTATTCTCGACGCTAACGAAATACTTCTGCAGAAAAAGAAGGTTCTTCAGCTGAAAGTAATGCAGCGACAAGGTGTGAACCATTCAGGAAACGAAGTGAATTTTTCTTCGACGGTGAAGATCCGCGAATACCTGCCATCAGGTAAATGATTAGACGAGCATTGAAGCAATTTACTTCGAGAAGGAAAGAGAGTTTTCGTAGAAACCCCTCCCATCACGTTATATCCCGGATATCAAGAGGTCCTTTCTCTATCCTGGGAGAAGGAGGGCGATTTCACTGACGGATAATTTTTCTGAGAAGGATAGATTACCACCGTGAGCCGCATGTTGCATGTTGTATCGTCCAGGTGCGTAGCAGTGGCGAAAGTGAACGGATCGCATCCGATCCCGGACACGATGGCGAACCTTGAACTCTGGCTTCCGCCGGGAAGTTCCATGGAAAACTGGGAATTCTATGATTTCTACGATTCCGACTCCATAGCTTTCCTCGGGAATCTCGGACCCGGGGGCAGGTAAAAGACCTCATCGTTCAAATACTCATCTTCCGCCTTATTTTAGAATCGATCCATTAAAAATCCACGACACGAGTGAACCCACTATTTTTGTCTCTCGTGCTGGAATGGATCCTTATCGAGGAAACATAAGAGGTGAAAAAAAGGTACATGGACAACTCTTCCGATGGTTCTAATCAATTCACTTTAATAATTTCCATAGCAACAAGAGCAGCAAATTTTTAATGCGCTATGGCAACATTGCATTTTTTGGCGGAATGGGTAAAGAGTGGAAAAAATGGAAGAAGGGATTTATACGTCTCCCCGAAGCAATTAATAATTTCCCCACAGATTGGGATGGTGGTACCCTTCACACGTGGACACCCTGGGGATGAAGGCCCACTGGGAGATGTTTAAGGTCGCTAACGTCTCTCAAATCTTCCGGCTCTCCGGAGAGGAATATCACATGATGAAGAAGCACATGATCGATCCTCTCACTGGAAAGTAAGTCTACGACAGCGTAAACAAACGCATTTGTTTCTTCTCCTCTTTCTGTCCAACGCCATGAGGATTCCTTCGAGATAAGTGCTAGGGGCAGAATGTTATGATTCTTAAAGGCTGAAGAATATTAACGGAGACTAGGAGATTCGACTCGTGAATCTCGAATGAGTTCCGATAGAAAGCATCGATAAAATTTGTGGATAAATGTCGACGTGCTATGATTTATCTGAAGTCTGAAGGACCTAGTCAGCTTGGCAAGCGAGGAAGGAGTCCTGGTCCTTCTTCCCCCGCCAATTTCCTGTCTATCACGCAGTTTTCGCATCAACTTTCAAATTGAGATGCATGAAATCATTTGTCCGTAAAGCCAATAAATGAAGGAGGACGCGGTCTGCTTACATAAGATGATCGCGGTTAAGCAAATACGGTGGGACGCATTAAAAAAAAACCTCCCACACATACCCAAGGATTTTCATTAGGTATCAGAGAAAACATTCATCTCCCAAGCATTCTCATTTCGTCCTTGGAACAAAAGCAGGCGAGTATGCCGAGTCACTGACTCTTTGGCCCCTTTCCACCTCTCTTCTTATTTAGCGCGTTTCCCTTGGTTTTTCCTCTCCGTTCTTCTCTTGTCATATCATTCACTCCTAGCCTTGACAGGTGCTTGTATACGCAACAAGGACACGAACATACGGTACGTGAATGGATATCTCAAGGGAGATGACAGCACTTGTGCAATAGCATATTGCAGAGAATTCTCCTTTCTCGTTAAGACACCCGACACGTCGTGCTTCATATCGATCCCCAGTAGCGATGATTCCTCATGGGGTTAAGAGTGCTCACTAAACGATCGTCCCTGCTTGCCCCTTCGCATTCACCATGATAAATCAACTTAACGATGCTTCCCCCCAGGTATTACTGCTCGAACGATGACTGCGTAGAAGGGATGAAAACACCCCCGAAATGCAAGGGACAGAGAATAAGACACAGGGCAACGGAAATCAACGGAGTCTGCGGATTCCTCCTCGCCTCGTATCCGGAAGTGGAAGCGTCGATAATGGCGGAAATCGAGGAGATGGAATTGTTCCTCGAAGTTGCTTATTTGGGACCCCACCTCGTTCAATTCGCCGAGCATCTCCTGAAAAGAAACGTTCCATTCTTGTTTCTTCACTATTGGCCCTCAGAGATACTTCTCAGGTGAGACATTCAGATCGTTCACCTTTGTCTGCCGAGGATTTAAATGCCATACTTATCTCTCGTCGCCAAGCACGGCAGTGGGAGGTTTGTCGTGCCGACCACGCCAGATGGCGTGAACGGCAGCGAAAGGGTTAATGAGAATCCGATTAGCTGTTGTGATTTCCTCAAGGGATTTCTCAACACGTTATTTGCCGTATTTCGCACATCTAAATACAGGTATTGCGTGGGAAGACCAGTCAACTTTTTCCATATTTGGAAACTATAACATATACCTATGCTGAACAAATATGGCTCTGCGCAGATCGAGCATGGAATTTTGTTGGAAAAAAAAATGCAGGACCAAATACAGTTCATTCTAGTTAAGAGTACTGTGTACAGTACGTTGAGCATACATAATCCATAGATTGGAGAATGTATATCCTCCTGAGACTCAAGCAGATGGCACCAAATCTATCTAATCGAATTATCTAATTGAATGATCTAGAGAAAATTTCGATAGGATTTGGCCCATTTGCCTCAGGTTCATGCATATATTTATTATACTGTAAGCTGTATATTTCCCTCCTTTGGGATTTTTCTGAGGAAATATGGGCAGTGAGGTAGAGACTTCTATATTAGGAGGCCCTGGAGGATATGGTCTGCATTTTGCGTGGAATGAAAATGTTATTCCCAAGTTCTTTGTTCTCATTGAATAAAATATTTAATCAAGTTGTCAAGTACTCATTTAAAATTTAATCACGGGTGTCTCGAGCACTAAGCGAGATTTCTTAAAGCGTCGCATTCCCTGATTTTGTGGATTGAATTTGAGCCAGTCCATTTTCCCCCCTCTTTTCCTCCTTCAAGCGGGAACTTCAGGATGGTCCTCCTGCCTCCCTGTTTAGAGCATTCGAGTCTGAACCCCAGCTGGAAATGCAATTACGCACTTCGACACTTCGTGAAAGTGGCCTGGAAACCTCTTCTTTCCAAGGCACCCGATGCTTTCGAGGTTAGTGGATTCAAAGCCTACGAGAATGCGTTCCACGCAGTAAATTTCCTAGAAACAAAATAAAACTTTTAGAAACGGAGAAGGAAATCTGAACACCCGCCTAGCAAAATCGGACGACAGGAGACGAGCAATGAAAAATGCATGGGAAGAGTGAAATCGATATGAGTGTGCCACGAAAGGCAGTTCTAACCACGAGAGCATCACGCTAAGCCAGCACGGCAGGCATTCAAGCCATATTGTTAACAATGAGGGAAAATCCCACCGGTCTTTTACGTTCGTTCCCCTCTTCCCATTTATCTTCTTCCTAGGTGATGTCGGATCTATACTTTCATCAGAAAGACTACGAAGATCTACTGGCTTCGTACCATGAAGGGGAAAGAATTAGGGACGTTGCCTGTCGATGGCTTCGAGGTAAGGGGGATTACTTGTGGAAGCATCGGCGAAAAACCAGTCTTTACATCGGAGGCATCTTCCCGCTCCACGGAAGCGTTTACAATGCCGTCGGAGTCGTCCCCGGTCTGTTCTCCTCTCCGTCGAGTCCCATGAGAAAATAAATATAAGAGCGGTTGGATGGCATCTGGATGAATCGTTTCTCGTTCCTCTGCCCGGATCCAGCTGCGATGATGGCGCGAGACGCGGTGAACAAGGACGACAGCATCTTGGAAGACTACGTGCTGGAGGTGCAGTTGATGGACGGGCAATGCAAGCCGGACATGGTCATGATGTCTTTCATCCAGTACATCATACAAGCGGAATTCAAGCAGTTTCTCGGGATTCTCGGTAAAGGCTGAGCTCAGTCCGTAGGGATTTACAGTACAAGGTTATTCGATTGGACGTACAAGGTTTTTTCTCTCCCTTTTTGTTTTTTTCTTCTTGCACAGGACCGGCCTGTTCAAATACGATCGAGCCGATAGCCGGGGTATCCAAGCACTTCAAGACAGTGGTGATTAGTTACAGTGCAGAAGGAGCCGTGTTAACGGACAGGGAAAAGTACCCGTACTTTTTTCGCACCATCGGGGAAAACAGGCAATTCAAGTAAGTGCCCCTTCAACGCATCCTCATATGCTCTCATCCATCACGATTAAGCTTCTATTCCATCTTCATCTTATTTCCTGGGTGTTTGCAATGAGATGAGGGACGAGTTTCTGATGAGATTGTCTGCTCATATGGAAGGTGAAAATCTATAGGCATATGATGCTTTCTGTCTGGGGGTCTACGCACTCCAGGCTCGATCTGTGAAAGGTGTACCAACAGAGTGCTCTCTTTTCGCCCAAGGACATCCAAGCTCTTATAAAGGCTATGATTCGTTCGGGATTAGGTAGCTGAAGGGGAGAAAAAAAACTGTTTCTTTATGAGGCGCCAGGGATGGATATACGATCGGCAGGGCTACCTGCAAGTAAATGATTAGATGAAGTAAAATGATACTTTTGAGACACTTACGCCACTTGATCTCGTCGTAATCACCATCATCGCGGTCTTATCTCGATAGAGCCGTATATCTGCAGCTGCTTCAACAACTGGGATGGAAACGAGTGGCGTCGTTGACCGAAGACGGCGAGAAATATGCAGAATATCTCTCCCAGCTCCAAGATCTTCTCGAGGCCAACAAAATCAGTTTCATCGCGAACAGAAAATTTCCCAGGGTGCGAGAGACCCAGAACATGTCTCAGGTGAGTCCGGGTCACATTGAGGAAATATGAAGAAACGCATCAGACTATACAGATCGGAGTTAAAGGTATTGTTTTTTTTTGTTTTTTTTTTTTGCCCCATTCTCTCTTTGGTCGGCCAGTACCTGGACGAATTCCAGGCGGAGAGGGCTCGGATCATCATCGGGGATTTCTACGACTCGGCAGCTCGGGCAGTCATGTGCGAAGCGTACAAGAAAGGAATGACTGCCAAAAATGGTTATGTGTGGTTCTTACCGAGATGGTTCTCTCGAGATTGGTTCCACGCAAGCCATTACAACCAGATCCTTTCCATAGAAGAAAGGGTCCCCTGCAACACATCCGAAATGATGGAGGTAAGAGGTCAAAGAAAGTCACTTTCAGCCTCTGCAGTGATGCAAATGGCGCAATCTGAAAAACGCGCAATAATTTTTTGATTGAGGCGATAGCGCTGCGGCAGGATGTTGAGTTCCCTTACCCCGTCGGAACAGATCTCTCTTTACACTCATTCCAAAAGATATACGAAAAAGAGACTGCCACACGAGAAAGAAGAAGAAGAGATAAACTACTTAATGAGAGCCATTACATGTGGGACTCATGGGAAGAAAAGAGGGGACGGAGTATGAGGTCCATTCATTTTCTTCGCCTCATATGAGGAAAGAAAGTTGCGACAGGAAAATCGACAGAAAAAACGCGGGAATCAAGGAACTCTCCCCGACTTTGAAAGGATTCTCGCTTCTTCTTATTTTATTGATAGAGGGAAAGAGCAGCTTATTTTAATTATTCCTGCGGTGTTTTGAGTCGAGGAAGCTGAAATCGGATGAATAGAAGGAAGCCTCCTCCTGTTTCCCACTTGCCCGGAGTGCAGCGGGGCTTCGAGGAAAATCCATTAACTAGGCTCAGCATTTTCCTTCCATTTCTTTCCCTCATCTTTTCTTGTTTTCGTCTTTATTCCAGGCCATCAACGGTCACTTCTCGTTGGCCTACGCTTATTTTGCCGAAGAGGATGCCCTGATGCAGGAAAGCATCACCGTCGGGGAATGGAGAAAGCGCTACGAGGCCGAATGCGCAAATTCTCCCAAAATCGTCAGTCCAGACAACGACCTATCGAGAGTAAACGAGAGTGATGCACTAAAATGCATGACGTGCATGCATTCATGTGTCATATAGAAAGGAGGAGGGGTGAGTCTCCCGGAGAATATCCATCCAAGTGATTACGCAGGATTTGCCTACGATGCCGTGTGGACGTTTGCCCTGGCCGCCGACAAGCTCCTGAAAGAAAATCACTCCCATGTCGCGGACTTCCATTCCATCTCGGCAGTCCAGTTAGACCCCCTCTCATCTCTCATCTCTTTTTCTTTTGTCGGCGATGCGAATGAGGGTTTGCGTTCAGGAAAAAAAGGGAATTTGCTAACGTAAATTCAACTCATATCTAAGCTTAGCACCTCGATTCGATCCGGAGAGGTTACTACATGTGAAATTAAAATCAATTTAACATGCGATCGTGCTTTCAGGAGGTTGGTGGAGATCATAAACGAAACGGATTTCCTCGGGGTCAGTGGTCACGTTCAGTTCCGAGGTCCATCGAGACGGCCGATCATCAACGTCCTCCAATGGAGAAACAATGCAAGCGTTGTCGTCGGCACGTTTTTCCCCAACGAAGAAGATGGGGAAGGAAGGTAGTGTCCTGTTCTTGAATCCCTGATAAAAACCCCCTTGATGCTGTAAAAATAACAGAAGGCGGGAAATCTTGTGCTGTAACATAATCTCATTGACGTGATCACATCGTCCGGCTCGACGTTGCGGAATAAGCCTCTCGAATGTGTCTCCTTAAATGAGGTTGGCTTTGTCTTGACTCCTTCCGATCCGTCCGCAAGGCTGGAGTTGAACGAATCGGCGATCGTGTGGCTGACGTCGGACGGAGGAATTCCTGCAGACGGAGGGGGAGAGGAAAAACATTGTGTCTTCCAAGGACTCAGCGAGCTCCTTTCCGTGGATTGCGAATTGGCCATTGTGATCGTCAATTTGGCAGTGTTCACGGCCTTCGCTCTTCTGCTCTCCCTCTGCTTCCTCTACATCAAACGAAGGTTCTTACCTTAATGCAGGAGGGATTAAATATTTAGTAATACCCTCGACGACTTTGAAATTTATGAGAAGGGAATGAATAGGCCCATCAATGATGTGACCTGGGTTATTCATGTTTCTCCTTCATCCTTCGGGAAAAAAAACCAGATACGATGCGAAAGTCCGAGCCACCAAAGAGCACATGAGGGCATTGGGTCTATTGGCCTCCTCCAACATGTTGGCGCTAGACGAATGGGAAATTCCCAAGGAGAATGTGGTCATCAATCGCAAGATAGGGGAGGGGGCCTTTGGCACCGTCTACGGCGGAGAAGCCTCGATCGACGACCGAGGATGGGTAAGTACTGTACAAAGAAGAGCATATGCCAACTTCATACATCCATTCAATAAGGCGACTTTTTTCCTTTTAATCGTTCTTTACCCCTTGCATGATCAAGGTCGCAGTGGCTGTAAAAACGCTGAAAGTAGGTTCCTCGGTAGAAGAAAAACTGGATTTCCTCCGCGAGGCGGAAATGATGAAGAGATTCGACCATCGAAACATCGTGAGACTCCTGGGAGTCTGCACCAGGGCGGAACCCATCTACACCGTCATGGAGTTCATGCTTTACGGTCCGTAGCCTTCCTCTATGCCATGAGTTTTTTCCTCCTCCTTCCCCTCACGCGAATCCCGTCTGTCTGTCGTTTCCAGGGGATCTCAAGACGTATTTGCTGTCTCGGAGGCATCTAGTGCACGAGAAGGATTCCGATGAGGTATCCCCAAGGAGACTGACTTGCATGGCGCTCGACATTGCCAGGGGTCTTGCTTTTCTTGCTCAGCTCAAATACGTCCACAGGTCAGTCGTGAGAGACATAACCCACTACTATTACCTATGCGGCTCTGTGCAATCGAGACTTTTTTTGTAGATGGATAAGAGCCCATCCAATTGCGATATCGTTAGGAAATTTTCGACTTAGAGTTAGATTCAATCACGAGATTCAATCAAGCCAGATGGAGAAAATCGATATGGAAATGTTCCTACTTTCATTGCAGAGACGTGGCTTGCAGAAACTGCCTGGTGAATTCTCATCGACATGCTAAATTAGGCGATTTCGGCATGACCCGTCCCATGTACGAAAAAGATTACTATCGATTCGATCGGAAGGGCCTATTACCAGTTAGATGGATGGCACCCGAGAGCCTCGCCGATGGATTGTTTACTCACATGTCCGACATTTGGAGCTATGGAGTCCTTCTCTACGAAATGCTCACATTCGGCTCCTTCCCCTATCAGGGTCTCTCAAATGCTCAAGTCCTCGAACACATCAAGGCAGGGAATCGACTCGGAATCCCCTCGGGCGTTAGCTTCCAACTGTAAGTCTTTTCTCCTATTTCTGCAATGTCATATACTCTTTCCGACCAAGATAACTCATTCAGGGAATGAAAAGTGCAAGAAGACTCAATAGGTGCATCGAAAGCTCGTCCTAATGAAATCTTGCTTCTACAACCCCCTAATTGCATCATGGAGTCCCATTCTCCAGAAAGACACGACCTTAGTTCCTTCTCATACCTCTTAGAAAGCAGCAGGAAAGAGCAACCGCGCAGGTTCCCACAGATATGTCGACTCAAACGATTCTCCACAGAGCATGCACCTAATTCAACAATTTCCTGCCTTGAGTTAAATATAGCATATTGATATGATGCAATGGAATTCAATAGGGAGAACCTGTTGCGATCTTGTTGGGATCTGACGCCGACCAAGAGGCCGCATGCATCCGAGATAGTGGACTTGTTGAGTAACAATCCCTGTCTCATCACGCCATGCCCCGACATTCCCAGCGCACCTCTCCAATTACAGGTACGTTATGCACCCGCAGACACACCCATTATTCATCTCATGAGAGCTTTCCCTCCACCCCTTGTAGGGTCATCAGGTACAATAGCTCTGGAGGCCTGCATAATCTGGGCGCAATGAGCTCTTAAAAGTGGATAGGAAAAGTGCCCTCATTCCGTGTGACTGATGACAGATGAAGAAGGGCATTTACCTTTGCCTGACTCGATCCCATCATTCCTTCCTACTCTTTCTCAACCCACTTTTTGAATGAGATGTCCCGCAATTCCTCTTATGCAAAAATATGGGCATTGACCCTTTCAGTCCTGGGGGAACAGGTGTCCCACATTTGTTCGGATATTTTGCAGGGCTACATAGGAATGCACGGTCTTGATACCTAGCGGGACATCTGATTCCCTGTAACCTCTTTTGGAATTTGCATTTTTTGTGGTTAATGACGTTTCATTGTAGACGGTTTAATGAGAAAAAATTGCTTTTACAACATTTATATTTTTTAAATTCAGGACTGAAGGGGTTAAACACGACAGGAAGCGCATCACGTGTAAATCCATGTCGGTAGTCTCTATCCCTATCTGTTCGAAGCGAAATTGATTACTCAGTCTCTGGAATACGCATTTGGATATGAGGGGGTATCGATGTGCAGGAGATGACGTTGGTGAGGAAGCCATCCTCGGGAAGGAGGAAGCGTAGCGGCGACCTAGGCCCCAGTGAAGGTTCCTTGTCACCTGGGACATCCTCCGTGGCAATCCCATTGACCTTCCCCACAGCCCTCAGTCTCGAGAGTCACCGAAGGACATTCATCAATGGTTTGTACCTGACCACGGGGAAATTCGAAGACAAAGCCATCGCCACGGATTCCCCTGAAGACGATTACATCAACTGACATGATCCTGCCCTCCCTCTTGTGTAACAGAGAGAGGGCATCGTTTTCAATATTTTCCCTCTTTTTCGATGTCTATTTATATTTTTTAATGACTGAAGAGAAACGATGCATCGAAGGACACATGATTTTTCCTATCTCCTCTTTGTAGAGTTGCTCACACTATATTCAATATTCATTCTTGAATCGTGCCACTGTTCTTCGCGAAGGAAGAAAATTGTTCATGGACGGGTACTGGGATATACGTGTGACTGTCACGTCCGCTCTTTCCATAGGTTATTTTCGGGTTTTAAAAATGGCGTGCTGGTCACGTGAAAGATATAACCTGCATTTGCAGCATTGGAAAGACCGGCACAGGATGATAGTACTCAAGAGGAATCAGATTATTAATTTATTTCTCGCGAGAATGAATGAGATTGTATATTTTCCTTGGATAATAAATGTGAGACCGACGCATTTCACTGCGCTTATCGATGACTGTGCGTGTTTTCTTTTTTTTCTTCGTCTCGTTCTAACCGGCTTAATGGGTTCCCTCGTGCATCCGGGAAACGATAGACGAACCAGCTGACATCATCGAGACATCCGTGAGAGCGTCTGTGTCGGGAGCGATACGAAGCGAGGAACCCCCATCGTCCTTCAAGGGCGAGAAGGAGAAATGAGCGGAGGAGGAAGATCCACTTCCTCCGGGATTCCAGATAATGAGTGGAAATCCCGGTCCCGTTATCCTCCCTCTTCTCCCGCGCATCCGCAGCCAAATGATACGAGACAATGAGCAACAGGAACTGAGGATAAAAACAATAACGAGTCGAAAGACGATGATTATAAAGAGGGCAAAGAGAATTCTTTGCCAATGACTCGTAGGTTCTGAAAGTAAACGACTCCTTGAAGATAAGCAGTTCCAGATCATATATAACGTTCGGTGACAGTGAAGACGAATCGATGCTGTTCCGCTTCGTCTCTGCATCAGTCCATCTTCACGATGAAGATGGAAAAAATTAGGCATTTAAGAAGTTGAATTTAACGTTTTGCTCCTGCGGCCACGCGTCGATCGGGCGCCTGTGACTCTGGAGGGGATTCGAGTCTCTTACGAAACGAATCGCATCACGTTTCCCATATTCACTAAAGGAGCCAAGAACAAAGCGACGAGACACCTCTAGTGGATCGACTCGGCATCTGATTGCGTCCAAATCGAGACATAAAGTCGATGGCGGGTGACACGGCCCCTCCGGCAGAACCGCTTTCTATCTGCAAAACCGGATGAAACGGAGAGCGACTGAAACCCATCGGCACCGTTTTGGCTTGAAAGAGAGTAACGGGGGAAGGAAAAAAAAAGAGGGAATAAGTGAGTCACGGCTGAAAGGAGAAAGTCAATGTTGAGCTTTAGCGGATGCGCAAAGGCCCAAGACTTGCATCTAATTGTTTCCACTCCACTCCTCGGCACCATCGGTCGAGAAATTCGGGAAATAAAGCGGATCTGAAAGAAAGAAATAGCACTCCCGCTAAGGAAAGTGCTATGAGACATTATTTTCCTCGATATTTCTTGCATGATGCGAAAGCTTCATCTCATAGAAGTTGACCAGGGGCGGAGGAATTCTCCTCGCTTTCACCGCTCAGTCCCTTTTCCAACAAAGGCTCGCGGAGTGCATTAACCCTTTCGTGCATTAATTTTTAAAGCAAAACGAAAAAATGTTATTTTTATTTATTTAATATGTTTAAGGTGGTACTCTGCCGTAGTACTCGCATGTTTCACCGTTAGGAGGCAACACTGATTAGATTATGTCCCCTGGAGTGGACTGCATACACCAAAAGTTTCGAGGCATGTGTAACGTGGCTGAAAGACCAAAATCATAGCCGTCCACTTCAGGGGACATCATGCACGAAAGGGTTTAAAATGGTTACACGCCAGGGATTCGTGACGGAAAAAAAGAATTTTCATGTGGTCTCTGGGATCACAGGATAGACGTACCTCGAAACCGGCTTCAAACTAATTTCAAATATTCCATCCATGAATCCCATCTCGAGACACGTTAGCTGGAGAGCAGGATCCACCCACACGCGATCAAACATTGGTATCTATGGCAACCGCCACGAATCTAGAATTACTGGTGACTCCAGCACCATGGCAACAGAGAGATGAGAGTTTCCTATGCCGTTAATGAACCTTGAGCACCGGGAGAAATGCCGGTGAATAATGCAAGAAAAGTGTAGGTTATTAAGAGTCATTTGGAAAAAGAGTAAATAAATAAATGCAGTGCTCGTAGAGAGATAATTAAAAAAAAGGATCCGGGATGAATCCTACGCGATTGCACGCGGAGATGCCAAATCGCTGAAAGCTTTCTTTTATTTGCTTCGATCCCGGAAAGTTAAGACCTTGAGCTTTGCGAGAGTTGGGGTTTTGCTCCAGAGGTTTTGCTTTCCTCGCGGTTCTTTCACGTTTTCTCACCAACTATGAAGAAAAAATACTCTTCGTTGTTCGCGTCGAGTTCTGTCCTTCAAACTTCGAGCAGGTATTAAAAAAGGGAGGGAAATAATTCTTTCGAGTTCATATCTCAACTACGAATGACGTTTGAAGGGGATCGAGGGGAATCCAGGGCAGATTTTCCCCGTTTATTTACTAACATCAAGTGGCCCAAAAAAAAAAATGCACCCACATTTCGAATAACTGAGCAATAGAATCATCTGTTTGCATTACCTAACACATTTATCTCTTCGTACACTTTTGGTTCACCGAAGATGCTCAAATTGGCATCCACCAGCATTTAAACATTTAAAAGACAATAAGGACAAAATTGCAACGACTGGAAGAGTGGGTACATTTTTTAAAACCTAATATTAAAGAGAGATATTGGTTATATAGGCAATTATCTGGCTGGGCAGTAAACTGCCCCCAACCAAGGTGCACAGATAGAGTAAAAGGAGTTATTTGCTGCTGAAATTGTCCAAAACTACCCAAGGGCAACAGAAAATGCCCAACCTTCGGACCCAGAAGCACGGAACATAGAGACCCCAAGTCCGACTATTGGAAATAGCTTGCAGCCATGGGGCAAAGCTCAAGAAATTTAACATGAGAAAGGACAGCGAAGGATCCTATCCCAGAAATTCGTCAGCCAGCCTGCGTCTTCAGCGGGTCGAGACCACAAGTCTAACAAACCCTATCCAGAAAGTTTCTGCCGTCAGATGTTACAGCTGCAGACGTAAATAGATATGGTAGTACCTAACACCCCAGAAGCAATCCCGTCCATCTGCCAGTGCCACAATTAAACGATCGATTAGCTCGACCGGCCTCGCGACTGAAATGCGTGGTAGACTCAAGCCTACGAAAGGAATGAAGCGAGAGCATGGCCTTGGAATGACTCAAACCTATGAAGGAAAAAGAAAAAGAGGGCGAAAGGCTGGGCGTGAAAGAAGCCTATCGAAGAAAAAGTGTAGCCTGGGGAAAGGCATTCATGCATCCATGCATTCAGCTAGCTGCGTCCTGCACTGACAGATTGGAACGATGTCCAGATTGCTTCTGCTACCTTGAGCCCTTCACCTCTGTGCACATTGGGCCAGTAGCACCCGACCCAACCCCGACAAACTGGATAAGTGGTGTCATGGATAAAATATAAAAACGGTATGGAAAAGAGCCCAATCGTTGGAACATGTTCCGATGCACCGGGTCTGTGTTGCAGACACGTCCGTGCTGCAAGAGCCGCATATCCGAGCTGCATATTTAAATATATATATAACAGGGTGATCATTAAGTCCCAATCTATTTCATTGAAAAACTCAAAATTTTTACAAAAATGCATTATGTGCACCTCACATAGTAAAAAATGAATTATATTATATGTATATCTCCATCGTATATGATTATATTGAGTCAAGTTTTTCAAAAGGCTCCTAAAAACTTAGTTGCCCCAAAGTCACTGGTTGTAACTGAAACGGTACTTTGAAAGAGATACCAAGAGTTAACAGCTACTAAATAGCTAATGAACGTAATCAAGCTACAAAAAGCTACGAATTCTTGCAGATCTACGTGTCGAGGACGCGTTACGCGCGATCGACGCGATCAGTACGGGTCGAAACACATTAGTACGATGGAAATGCGTGGAACAAGTAAATATCGGGGAGTCACGCGATCTCTGTTCCACCGTGCGTTTTTGCGGTTTGTTGGGCAACAGGACGAAAGGACAAAAGGTCAAATGGCGATCGAGAGAAGCTGCAGCTGCGGCGAATTTCGGTCCGCAATCCGCGAGAATTTAAGAGGGGGACGGAGGAGATAGACCAAAAAATCCCGTTCCCCGTTCGTCGCATTTTCATCGCTCTCGGAGACGAAAGAGTCGACGATTTGCAGAGAGAGAGAGAGTGAGTTGAGGAATTTTCCGTCTGCCTTTGTCCTTTCAAATTCCCAAGGACCCAACGACGAGAGCGATGAAAATGGGAATTCGCGCGAGCGACCGGCGGCAAATTGTTCGCGATCCCGCTCTTTCTCGACGAGAACTCGAGAAGGAGAATTATATTACTCGAGATGATATTCCCAGGAAATATAATACTCAAGATGACATTCTCGGAGAATAATTTTCGACAACTTCAAGGCTTCTGTCTTTCATAGATAGTTCAATCGCACTATTCCCACCGAAAACATTGCATTAAAAGAAAAAAACATGGAAAGGAAAAATCGGTTACGCTCATATTTGGATAGGTGAGACAAATTCCTACCCTACTATTACGCCCCCGCCCCTCCCCCCCCACCCTCCACGTTATATACCAGGTGGCACAAAAAGTCCCGAACTTTACCTGTCTGCAGACGGTGTACCATATGAGTTATCGACAGAAAATTGATAAGCTTTTACATGCAGTGTTTGCAGGTGATGTAAAAAAAAAGTCATTGAAATCGGTAGTAAACTACGTGAGTAACAATTTTTCTCCCGCGCGATATCAAAGAGCGAGCGTGCAAAGAAACGCGCCTGACCTCAAAAAGAAAGAAATGTTTGATGTGTGGATTTTGGGCCTCGGCAGCACGCCGGCAAACGCACTGTCAGTGCGTTTGCATTGCGCACTTGCTCATTTGACAAGTTGTTACGGATGGAGCTCTTACTCGGGTTCAGAGCAGGGAGTTTCAGTGAAAATTTCCTGAAGGTACCTACATATATTGGGTATGGCACGATAAAAATTTCAATACGATGCTTAGCATGGTGTCCCGTCTGCAGACGCACGAAGTTCGGGACTTTTTTTGGGCAACCCGGTATTTCAAGGAAAAGAAAAAATCCAGTCTTTTCCGCCGAACAATAGGCTTACCATGTCCGGTCTGAAAACGTGAATGGACGTTTGCATCCGGCAACTTGAATAAGAAGGTGAGGGGACGGATTTCCAGGGAATCTAAATTTCTATCTTACTCCTACGCCGACTTCTGCGAAAATATTCAAATCAAAATTTTCCTGCAATTTCCTTCTTCTCCATGGGGAAAATCAATAAAAAATGCTTTAAAAAAAAAGTGGGCTCAAAAGACGGTGCATTTCTATTTCTGCCTTTTCCATCCCGTTTTAACCCGGCCATGTTTCTTCTCGTGGAATTTCCTGCGCGATGCAGTCTCCACAGAACCAAGAAATCACAAAACATTTGCGGAAAATTTAGGGATTTCATCCTTTTCGAAGCGAAATCGTGAGCAGAGCCTTTTCCGCGTCCGGATTTCTTTCGTTCCTTCACTGTGGAAACTCTCTTTCGCTTTCAGAAATCGTTGCAGGAATTCATTCGACGCCGTCGTTTTTTTCCCCCCTCGCTTTGGGCTGTACGATCGACCCGGTTTTGCGATCTCGGACGTTTGGCGGCGCTTCCGCTCGTATTAATTCCATTATTCTCTGCTTGCGATGAAATATGATACGTATAATTAGTTATTTCGTGAATTAGGACGCAATGGACGAGGCTCGGGCGCGGGAAAAGTACCCGAAAACAAGATGAACCAATAACATCGAAGTTGAAATCTGCAATTTCCACTCAGTTGCTCAAACTTTTTCGAACTCAACTGCTACTAAGCTATTAGCAGAAATTAGTGACTCTTTTTAGTAGCTACTACTAGCTATTACATTTCTAAAATCAGCAGCGTTTTGAAAACTCGACTCGATGCTTTCGAGGAGTTCCTCCTCCTGAAAAAAGGATAACTAACTTTGATCCAGAATTTGGGTTGTGACTTTAATTGGTGAGACTTAAATTAAAGAAAGAGGTGGTCAGGGAAGCGGGGGAGTGGGGGAGTGGGGGAGTGGGGGAGTGGGGGAGTGGGGGAGTGGGGGAGTGGGAACGTCGACAGAAAAGGCAGACGGTGCTCAGTTTTCTTGCCTTGTGTCTCTTGAGCAGAAAAAAGGAAGAAATCGCGGGAAACCAACTTTAGACATGGAGGAAGAAGGAGGAAGGAGGAAGGACGAAGGACGAAGGAGGAAGGAAGAAGGACGAAGGACGAAGGAAGAAGAAGGAGGTAGGCGAGCGGAAGCCGATCGATGGTGCCACAAACGTTCTTGGCTTGAGGTTGGCACTTGTAACTGCGGGGTGCATTAATGAAAAGCGCATAAAATATTGATGACACCAGCTGTCTATGGTGAGGTGGCAAAATTATTCATCATAGAGGCGGAGAACGAGACCGGCGAACGTGATGCCATTGCGATGGGATTCGAAGCTTCGGCGGCCGTCAGGCTTGCAAACGAAGTTGAAAAAAAAAACCTGTCTGTCTGCAAGCGATTTCTTTTTTATGGTCGAGTGAATGATCCTGCAAGTAATTTTTATAGTTTTTTTTTTTTCCACCAATGGAAGAGGCCCCTGCTGATGGCACGAAGCAAACTCGAACGTCCACGGAGGAATGTTTGCATTCCCTTCTTTTAATACCTGGGAGATACGAGCAACCGAATTAAAGACATCTCCGAGTCGAAGACGGAAAAACGCGGAAGAAGAACCGCGTCGCAGTTGACCCGTGAAAATGCGAAATGGAAATTCGCCCCCGCCCCGCACGACGATCGACAGCGTCGTGAGAAAAAATGAGTCGAGACCGACCCGTCGGAAGCTGCACTTTCGAAAAAAAAATACACGAGGAAAACGAAAGGCGACAGTCAATCTATTCCAGACGCAAAGGCATGTAATGATTCCGAGCAAATAGGTTCCATTTTTTTTAGGGGCGATCGTGAAAATTGTCTTTTTCTACTCCGTTTCAACCCGTTTCACCTTTTCTTTCCTGTGATCCTTAAAAGCAATCAGAATGAGATTGCTTTGTTGGATTTGAATTTCCATCTCGCACATCGCTTTCCCATCTCCACATTGGACTGGGAAACCATTATTTTCTACTCTGTAAGGGGACCCTGAAACACCCGCCCACACCTACCCCCCTCCCCCCCCGCAGCGACGCATTTCATTTTTCTCTGCGCACTTCCCTTCATTATTTCTTTATTCGACTCGGAAGACTCATTTTTAAGTCGGAAGCTCGTCTCCTCGTCGATCGACCGAGCGGACGGAAACGAATTTTCTCGCGTCACGAAAACGTGACGAGGCCTTGTTCCTTCCGGGATCGCATTCGCGTCACGATTTCCAAGGCCGGTCTCGAAATCGTCTCCCGGAATTCGATTTCGGCAGTTTTTCGGCAGTCGACTCCTTCCGCGGTTCGTTTCCGACGTTCGATCGATTCGTCGGCGGATTTTACTCGGCGACGGCAACCGCCTCGCGGAATCGAAACGACCGATTTGGTGAAAGTTTTCCGGTCGTGGCCCGAGAGAAAGCGAAATCGGTCGCGATCCGGATTCGTCAGGACGCAAAAAAAAAAAGCCGGGAAAGAAAGGCCGGATTTCGCTTTCTCGGCCCGAATTATGCTAAACTTCTGCCGGAGATCGATCGCGAATGCCATTCGGGAAATTAAAAAAGCCGCTAAACGCACCTTCAATTCGAGTAGAAAAAAAAATCGAATTACCTCGACACGAGATGCAACGTGTTCCAAATGGGAAAATCGATTTAAGTCGTCTGCTCGCGTTCCCTTTTTCCTTTCCGCGAGTGAATGACTCCAGGGTTTCCGCATGAGAGATTCCAAATCGAGAAGCGATATGGAAAAACAAACCGATTACGCGATATCGAGGAAATGGAGGAAGAATATCCTCGTTTCCGACATGTCTCAAACGAAGACGCGAAAACATATCGGCTTCCACGAATCCTTCTCGTGTTCGCGGGTGGTTGCTCGACGAAATCAGAGGCCACAGAGCAAGCAACCAAGGACCGTCTCGACATTTTCAAGGTCATCCGGGAAGGCAATCGATGACTCGATTCCGTTCCACCTTTCCGGGGAGACTGCCGGTAGAATTGCAGATGGAATCCGTGATTGCGGGTACCGTTTCGTTCGATCACGCGCATCACAAGCAGCGGGCGGAATATTCACCGACGGTAAACACGCCCGCATCGTATCGATCGCGGTGGCTCCGCGTCTCCCGCCGAGTGTCATCGTTCCCCGTGCCGCTAAATGCTAAATGCACCCAGCCGTGCCGGGTGCGTTCGTTACCGGGTCGAACACGCACGCACGCCCGCATGTGCTCGTCCTCGATGTCTCGTGGAAATCCCGGGGATGACGTCATCGCGAATCGGGAGGCACACACCATTCGCAGTCTTCTCGGAATCAGTGAATGGGAAACGGAAGCAAGGAAGGGGAAATTGTCTTCGGGAAATTTCCAGGTCCAAGGCCGGTCTCTTCTTTTTTCCTCCATCATCAATGCAAATATTACGCATCTGTAAAGGCGAGAGCTCTCGTGCTCTCATAGAAGCGCCGAGTGGAAAGACGGAAAAAGGGGCGGATGTGACGTCACGTAGAGAAATCTCTCTCTCTCTCTCACTCTTCCTCTCTCTCTGCCCGCCCTCTATATAAATCCACTGTTTCCCATCCTCGTTCGTCATTCATATTCATGCATTCATATATTCACCTCCTCAGCCTCTGCATGTCTTTGTGTTTGTGCGTGTGTATTTGAGTGGTTAATGGCATTAGTGGCTCCCTACATTCGCCGGTTCCATTTCCATCCCGAATCTAATACCAATTAAGAGGGATTTGTGACTCACAAGGCCCATGCCACTCCGCTTAAGCTATATCTATCTACCTATCTGCCTCAATCGATAATATGCTTTCATCGATTCGATTACGTGCTCTCCATCACCTCCAAAGACTTCAAGCCGACAGGATTTCCCGATATTTCCAGATGAAAAGCTGCGAAGTTGTAAATCGTCTATGCCCCCGTTTCTCTGTCGTAATTTCTTTTGGAATGCAGCCGCTTGAAGTGATTGAAGTGAAGAGTGTTGTGATGAGCACCCATTCCATTAAGTTGCAAACAAATTTAAGCCCTTACCCCTTACCAAATTTAAAAACTAATTACATTAATTCACTAAATTATATAAAATAATAAGATTAAAAGTAAAGTTGTTAAAGTAATGAAGCCCGTTGATAAAAGAAAAAAATATATATATATAATGGGGAGCAGAGAAAATAAGGTTCGTGAAGATGCATTGAAAGGGCTGCAAAGAGAATCCATCATTACTTAGGAGCTCAGCAAAATGCTACTATTGGGAAGTTCCTTAGAATTTTTCCAGACTTCCCTGATCAGAGTTTTATCTCTATGGGTGTTTAGAATGAACATAGAACGGACATGAGACGTAATTCGCGACTCGGAAGTAGGGCAACAACTTAATTGTTTTTTTCGCTCCTGTTCCGAGTGAGCGTCACAAGAGGATTGACGTTGCGCATTAAATAAATATGAGGACGGATCATATGAGACGGCGCGGGGGAATTCCACTTAGACTGGATCAGTGTCATTCGAGGAGTTTATTTACCTCGGTTGAGTCACCATCAAAGCATTCATCTTGAGAGGGGAGTTTGTGTTAACTCGGGTGCTCGGCCTTCAATCGGGACGTCAATATGAGGTTAAACGCATGTTGACGTCTGGAACCAAATCTGGAACCCAACACCTTCGACATCACGGGAAGTTCTTCGTGTAACGACTCTCCATTTTCTCGTTTCTAGATCTAGCCGAGTGAAAGAGGAGAAAAATGTCGAAGTTGGCGCTGTTGTCTCTGTTAGTGGGTATGCTGGCCTTCGTGGCTGCCACATCCCCTCCTGGACCCTGTCAGTTCGTCTCTTCACAGATCTCATTCCATTCTGTCGGAACCCATTTCGACGATGCGTTTTCGTTCGTCTAGCATGCCCACGGAGCTGCAACGTCTGCTGGAGACAGAGGATCGCTCGTCCCCCCGTCTGCGGGACGGACGGGAGGACCACGAGGAGCTTCGACACGGAATGCGACATGATCTGCTTGGGCTGTGACACCGGGGTCGCGTGGAGAGTCATCAGCCGTGGAGGGCCTTGCGATTCCGATGCCGTTCCGTTCAGGAGGAAGCGACAGACCCCGACCAGTCAATTCCCCGGTGAGCCGATGCCGTGCCGATGCGAATGCGACGGGCGATCGCATAGATGAGGTCTGTCGATCGCGTCGTTTCGTTTTCGATGGAAATTTTCAGAGTGCGAGGGAACCTGCCGTTGCAAGCTGAGGAAGATCTTTTTGCCTCCCGTCTGCGCCGTCAACGAGGACACGGGGGAGACCCAGGCATTCCGCAATTCCTGTTTTCTCAATTGTCACAACTGCGAGACCGGAGAAAACTGGGAGCAAACAGACAATGGACGATGCTGAACGAGCGCTGCCAACGGAAAATCGTTCTCGAGCCGACTCTCATTTCTCTTCTAAACTGATCGTGCCTTTTTTTTTTACTAGTCCTGGAAATGCTTGTCTTTTAATTAATAATACCACTCTTCACACTAAGAGCCATGATGTTTTCTTCCCTTCTGGGCGTCGGCAAACAATTCTAACAAAGCAAGATAACAAGAGACAATTTCATCGCAATAGGAGCAGGGTCGTAAAGGCGACAATCGAGGCAAATGAGAATGAGATATCACAGACAGACTTCCGAACGACAGGCATATTACAGACCCATTTTGAATGAGAGGATCACCCTTCCTGCAGTGAGTATACTCATTGGAAGGAAAGGGAGCCTCAAAGTCAACAAGAATAAACACGAAACGCTTGAAAAGGTTATCTGTAAAACCCTTTCCAGAGGTTTCGTACAAATCCGACCATATTCACATATGAGTCAGGTATAAATCTTCAAACGGTTAAATCGCAAATCCTTTCGGCTGAAAGGATTTGCACTAACCTACTTGTGGATCGTTTCGCCTTTCCTGCCTTTTTGACACACCGAAGCCGGAAATTCATATCGACTGCTTCATATCTTGCGCGTGCATGCCGGACAATAATGGTATCAATTTCCGGCGTGGGATTTTTTCCTGGAGATGAAAAGGTTTCCTGCCTGAATACAGGTTAAAGCAATGATTCGCGATTCTACTCCTTCGTTTCCGATTTCCCATTTTCATTCACTCGTCTCACTCTTGCAGATGGCAACTTTTTCCACGCGATCCTCGTCTTTTCCTGTCCTCTCTCTTTTCCATTCCTCAACGCTGGGGTTGTGTTCCTTCCTCATCTCATTACCATCGCATCTTGTCGGACTACGATCGGAAGGGATAAGAAAGGATTAGGTGGAGCCGGAACTTGATAACTGCGCGCTGCTAATGAAGATTGGAAGTAGACCTAACGACTCCCGACTCCCGACCATCGGGATCTGGCAAACTTTTTATTTCCAAACTGCCACTCAAAATTAGAAGCATCGATAAGTTTCAGCCATAACCTCGTAAGAATTGCATGGCATTCCAAAAAGGGCGGAAGTGCGGATTCCAGTCTTTTCTTTTTGGCAAGAAATCCTTGTCGAGGAAAAGACCTCGTGCATAATAACTGTCTCAATGTCCCAGTCAACAATTTTTCAGCGGGCATCAGTGGCTTTTAGCTGAACAGGCTATACAATAGGGCACAGTTGGGTCATCACTGGAAGATGGCTGGCTCAAAGTTGGCTGAAGCCAGCTTATGGTCGGGCATTGTCTGGTTACGGCCAACATCAAGCCAATTGTAGCACACCATCGGAAATCCGCACATTCCCCGTAAATAAGTCGGTGAACTGACTTTCCACGAAACAGAAAATACATTGAAAAAAACCCATAAAACTACAACTCTCGCGTATCTTGGAGAGATAACTATGCATCATTTGGCAAAAACACGCCTCATCTCTCACTTTTCTCTGCCTTTCATCTTTCATGAACCGTGTCAATGAAGTATCCTCGAGCTATTCGTCAAAAATAAATCCATTTCCTAGAATGACTCTATTGCTACTAGACTCTATTGCTACTAAACGCTACTAGGAATAATTCCTAGTAGCGTTTATCATACCATACCGTCACGAACTGGCAAGTTTCCATGCGATGTCTATCGTTTCGATCGAAGCGAATCTGCCTTCTCTCGCGTCAGAGGCAACTTCCACTCTTCATCACAAGCTTCCCTATTGACCAAGGGCCGTATTCACGAAAACGTCCTAAGAATGAGATATTCTTAAAGATATTCTAAATCTTTCCAAAGATACGAGGTTCGTACGAACTTCGTATCTTTGGTATTCACGAAACTTCGTAAGTCCTCGTTTCACTCTTACGAACTTTGTCGGTATTCGCGAAGCTTCGTAGCTATGATAATGAGCCGACCAATCATAGCTGATCTCCTGAGCTTGCAAACCAATCACAGAGTGGAGAGCAACGTTCACGTTGGCAGCATGACTCACGTGTCCCTTTGTCACAAAGGCCTTCTGCAAACTTCCTGCGTCTACTGTGACAGTTTTCGCCCTTTGAGGAAGTTTTGACATAATTGGACGTTCTGCCGAATCTTTAGAAAAACATATTTTACTATAGGACCGTACCACTGAATCTTATCGTAAAGCAAACTACCTTTCAGAAATGCCGAAGGAAGCATTGAGGGTACAGTATCAAACTTTTTAATCATGGAGAGTGCAGGAAAGAGTGGCCGACGACCAAATTTCTCAAGGGTGGAAATCAGGATAATGATTGAAGACGTTGAGCGAAAGAAGAAAGTCTTGCTGGGGAGATTAAGGTCAACCATTACAGAAAAAATGAAGTTGCAAGCATGGGATTCAGTGGCCGATGCAGTAAGCTGCGTCTCTTCTGTACGGAGATCTGCTGATGAAGTGAATAAAAAATTCATAGACTTGAAATCGAATGCTAAGGTAAAGGGAGAGCAGTTCCTCAGAGAGACTACCAAGACTAGGAGGAGGAGGAGGAGGAGGAGGAGGAGGTGGACCTCCTCCTCTATTGCCCGAATTGTATCGGAGAATAATTTCGATAATTAGAGAAAAGAGCGCAAAATCCTGTGAATCTAATGTGGACATATCCTGCGAACCCTCCAGTGTAAATGAAATTAAGCTTTTTTTGAGACATTCGATAAATGAAAGTTCAAGAAATCGCCTTTGAGTTCATTATGGCGGACACTTAAGATATCTCCAGACCAATCGTAGACATACGAAGAAAGATGCGAACTTTTGCCCTTTCGTGAATACCGATATTGTCCAACAATCTTACGAACTGCGTACGAAGTCTCGTACGAAGTTCTTACGCAAAAACGTTTCGAGAATACCACTTACGAACTTTTTCCCTCTTACGATGAAAAAAGTTCGTAAGATTGTTTCGTGAAAGGCCCCAAGAAGTCTTAGTGACGAGGAAGAGGCGAAGCACATGGCGTATTGTGGCTAGTGGAACCGTCCTCACGCTAACCTCTGGGCCGGAATCGCCTGATGCATCATCGGGCAGGGTTATGGAGAGAGAGAAACGTGTCGAGGAATTCCGTTGTCTTCCTCTCAGATTTATGTGGGAACTGTGTCGATGGTATGGGGGACTCAGTAGAATCAGGGAGTGACTCGCTACGACGATAACTTAGGTGATTCGATTTTTTTAAAAAAGTATGCTACCCTCGTATATACAGCACACGCTCCTTGTAACTCACAAAACCAACATTCACAGCGCCAGCAGGTTTAGTGTCACCTTGTAGCAGGCTCGAAAGTCCTTATATTCAACACAAAATACCAGCGAATTTCATCAATGCGAATACATTAAAGAACAAAATATTTTTTTGTACCTGTTGGATATAGCCAACAGTCTTTTCACGTGGTGTCCACCCAGTCAGGAATTTACCCCCGGGCCAAGTGTGTTCATCTCCGCACAGTCAGATATTCCAAGCTTGGCCCACGTGCAAGAGCCACATGTGTACACGTGCGCCACGGGTTTAATATGCATAGGGCGTAACCTAAATGTCCGCGTTTTCTGCGGCACCAAGTCTAATACATCTGTGGACCAAGTGTGGCTTATGCATATGGTAATTCCGCGACAAGCAGAGCCACGATTGCGTATCTACATGTGCAAGCATGGTACGAACGAGGTGTAAGCACGTGTAATTTCATATATGTCCGCTTTTCTGCGTCAACCTAATCGTAGTACTAATTTTAGTACATTCCCGGGAAAGGTCTATCCCTTAACACTCCATGGAGAATGCACGAATTCAATTCCTGGTTTCCTCATTTCAATCTCAGAACAGAGAATCGTGGAAATGTATCCACGTACATTACTGTTGTTCTACCGTTCACTGTTGTTGTAGCCCTCCTAATGAAAGAACTCATTCCCGGACAGTAAAGGATACGGATATTAGGAAGATGAGCTTGTTTATGGCCTGGGGTATCTGTGCTGGAATCTGTCTGGAATATGGGGGTAATAAATGACGAGGTGCCCGCGTTTATTGATTTCTATAATGCGATTAGAAGAGACATATGGTGGGGTACTAAGCAGTCCTGTGATGGACGATTCCAAGGAAAGAGGGAAGGCACTTTTGTGTACTGTGCGAAAAGCGAGACACACACCTCCATGAAAGCTTCAAAGCATTTGCAGATGTTTCCACTGATCTTCAGTAGTATTGCACTAGCGCGTGAAACATCCATGCCTGCCAAGCGCGGGCCAAGTGTGCAAGACCTTCCCGAGCCACAGATGGTCTAACCACTGAAGAGCCACAGATACGCCGAGATATGGCCACGCGTACACCGCTGATTGGACACTCGAGCGCCTGATTCTGTAAATCGTGCGCAAATCTTCAATTCAGCCTTTTGCACCGAATCCGATTTTCCCAGATATCAACATGAAAATCCTGTTACGTATGAGGTAGCCACCGTCGCCTGCGCTCGCGAGAACTCAAGTTCCTCATCGACGATGATCCCTAAGCCTCTCTCCTCATCCGTCTCTCCCAGCTTATCCACGCCAAAGGCATTCCGTCTTAATTTCATGTTGAGCCATTCATGACATTTTTTAATCCACACGTTGAAATCCCTCTTGGCTTTCTGCCCATCCTTCCCTTCCTTCACGGAGAAACATCTTTTGCTGTCAACGACAAATTTGCGAACCAGAAGTCGAACAGGTAACGTGTTTCATCGATGCACCTGAAATAGGAGTGCAATTTAGCGTTATGAGAGATTTGTATTTTCCCACGACTTGTAGGGGTATTTGAGAGTCAAAATTGCCTAATTTTCACATTTTCAAACTCAAGATTGATGCTGAAACCTCATTGAAACTCAAAGGATGTATGGATGGAATTTTTCACCTATTGAATCCAATTGAATCTACTGCACGTCTCCGTACGATGATCGGTCCCTGAAATGTCAACTTTGCTTTTTTCGTCCCCCCTCCCCCCCCCCCCCTGACGGTCTTTAAACACTTTAGGATTTCTTGGGGTGAAGAATGCAAGCCCAGTGCTTTTGCTTTTCTTTTCTTCTTTTTTTTTCAGGATTGTTAGACTGCAATCGCCGAGAATTTTTATCGCAAAATCGGAGATGCTCGGG